CTGCTGCTGTTGTGATTGGAACATCGCCGTGGGATGAAGAAACACGGATCCGTACATCATGTTTTCGTCTGACTGCTGTTGTTGCTGCTGATTGATTTGTTGACTGGCCGTAGTGACCACCGGCGAACTGCCGATACTGGGCACGCCGGCGGCATTGTTGCCGCCGGGTACGATCGGCGCTCCGGGAGTCGGTGGTACCAAACTGCCCTCTTCGACGGCCACGCGCACCGACTCGATGTGCCGCCGCGAGAAGACGTGCTCCTGCAGCGGTGTCTTGGCCGAGTAACGTACAGAACACAATCTGCACTCGTCTGGTCCGGTCGGGCCACGATGTGGTTGAACGGCTGAACCTTCGGCTGGCAAACCAGCCGCTAATCTGGCCTTCTTCTCCTTAGCACGGGCGTTCTGGAACCACACCTGCAACTCGTCTCATTAGTATCCGTGAGCTCGGATCGTGAATTAGATGCACACGCGTTCAAGGAATAGTCTTCTCGTGGATATTAATGGTTATTATGAGCTCGGGGTCGGCTCACATGAGGACTATCGATGCTCACCTGGACCACCCGTTTCGGAAGGCCGATCTCACGGCCAAGCATCTCGCATTCGGCCATCGTTGGCGTCTTGTAGTCCGAAAAGAGTGACTTCATCACCTTCACTTGTGTAGCCGACATCTGCGTACGGTATCGCTTGCCGCCGGATTGGCCGGTATTGCCGCTCGACTGTCCACTGGTCACTGGTGTCCCAGGCGTATTCCCGGTACTTCCGCTAGCGGGTCCTTGCCTCGAGCTCTGCGTGCTCGAGGCCGGGCTAACCGGTCCACTTTCATCATCCAAAAACTCCGTTGTCTCGCTCATGCTGTCATCATCGCAAATGCTACGTTCGGATAAATCAGTTAGAGGCCCGCAGTCGCTGCCGCCGCGGAAGTGGACACCGTGTTGCTCTTCAAGAAGGCTGCTGAAGTTGCTCAAGCACAATTTTACTGGCCGGCTGAGATCGACTGGTTTGCTTAGATCCAATGGTGACTCGCAGCTGTTTCCGCTGGCTTGATGATTTGCCGTTTCTTGTTTTCCATTACTAGCGTGCGCTTGTATTTCGCTGAAATATCGCCTCATATCGTCATAGTATTTTAAGGATTTTAAAGATGACTCCATGATGTCACTGTTAGGTGGAAACAACGGTGGCATCATTTGAGGAGTGCTAGAATTCGAAGGAACAGATTCCATCGAGAGCTCTTCATCCGGGATGTTATCGATGTTCACTTCGCCGCGAGCCACCTGATCGGCGTGTTTGCTGCTGAGATGAGATTCTAAAGCGGATTTGACTTTGAATAGTGCTGGACAGAATGGACAGCGCTTATTGATAACCTGGCTGTGAGCACGAAATTGGCCCTTGCGCTCACGAGCGCGCGTATTCTGAAACCACACCTGTACCACACGCTTCTTCAAACCAACCTCCCTAGCGATCGTCTCCAGCATCTTTCTCGATGGATTAGACTCGATCTGGTATTTCTGATAAAGATAGTCTAACTGTTCCGGAAGTATTGTGGTTCGTAAACGTTTGTCCTTGGGTTGCTCGTTGTGTTCAGAGTTCGAACGGTTGTCGCTGCCAGTTCCCTCCTCGAGATCCTCGAACTTCCTCTTTTGTATCATGCTGATGAGCGAATGCGGGGTGTCCGTTGCAACTCCAGCCTGGCTAGCGTTAAGCGCTTGCTGCTGTAAGATTCCGAATGGTGAGTCAGGTGGATACGCAGAGGGAAATAAGGTCGGGTTCATGATATGTATTAACTGATGTTCGCGCCAAAGTTCAAATCGGCCGAACATCAGGTTGCATTTTTCACATTGAAAACTACCTTCCTTCGATTCTGTCTGTGACTGTTGCTGCTGTTGTTGCTGCTGTTGCTGTTGTGACTGGTGTGTCTGAGACAGAGTTTGCTGCTGATGTTGATGAGGTGACGTAGCGGTGCTCAACGGTTGTTGCAACTGTTCGGTAAGCGCGGGCGCGGTTGATGGATTGTTAGTTACTGTATTGTTTGTAGTCGTTGTGGAGCTACTGTTACTGTCTTCGGAGCTCAGAACTGCGGCAACCTGAGCTGCCGCAGCCTGCGCTTGCGCACTCCTCTTGGCATCTTCTTCTTTGAAACAGTGCGTTTTTTGATGACGTATGAGCTCGTAGTACCTTTGAAATACCAGCAGGCACTTTTTGCACTGGTAGTTTAAACCTGGCGTTCTCTGAAATCGACCGGATCCGTCATCGGTTTCGCGTCCGCCTGATGTCACGGGTTCGGCGGCCGGTTGATTTTCATATACTTTACGTGCTTTCTGCCTAGCATTTTGAAACCACACTACGATCACACGTGGACTCAAACCGAGGAGTTTGCTAAGATACTCCAAATCATCATCTTTTGGATACGCGTTGTTTTCAAAGAATTCCTGAAGAACTTTTATCTGGTAATCGGTAAATCTCGTACGATTAGCACGCTTACCGGAACTGCCACCAGAAGTGCTGCTACCGTTACTATTGCCACCAAAATAATCAGTTGGACCGCGACCCGGGCTTAGAGATCTTTGAGGTGTGAGTGCCATTGCAGCAATCGCACTCGGTACTACGCCACCGGCTCCCGGAGTAGGACTGGCAAAGTTCTGGGACGTCAATTTCGGTGGTAACATCGGAGTACTCGGGGTGTTTGTGGTCGATGGAGTATGGGAGGAAATGTCGTGATGGATAGCCGAGAATACGGAACTCATACTAAGCGCGGGTGAATGCGGTCGCGATTGTTGTCCACCTGAGCTGCCGGGCGAGTGATGCTGCTCTTCTTGATGTTGCACAGCTTGTTGTTGCTGTTGACACTGTGACTGTTCGAGTGCCTCCTGCTTAATCTCGGATTGAGATGCGTTGGTGTTTTGCATAGACGGTGGAGGCGTGGCTTGCTTATTTGGACTTTTATCGTCAGAGGAACTGCTACCGGATACGCTTGAATTTAATGGGGTTACCTTCGCCTCTCCGGTTTTCTCGTACTCTTCGAGATTTAGGGTGGTACTTGGTGGATTATTGAAATTGTAAGGACTGTCTTTGTTGCGTTGTCGTTCTTTAAATAACGTATTTCGAAACCAATGCTTTATGACTTTAGGTGGCAGACCACTCTGAGCGGCCATATCTAGGATTTGCTCTTCGCCAGGAGAATTATTAATATCGAAATGGGCCCGTAATATCTTTAGTTGCTCATCAGTGATACGTGTACGCGCTCGTTTCTGTGATGCAGCTGCATTTGCCTGAAAGGTCAAAAGGACTTTCTCACTTTTCTCCTAATAATTAATACAATTAACAATCATTTATCTATAAAAAAAATACGTATAATAATATAAATAAATAATACACTTGACATACATAGAGTTAATTGAGACGATTTTCCGACATTGTTGACCGCACTCAAGTTTGCATCCTTCACAATGTATTAAAAGATCTTTCAATGATGCTCGTTGTACATAGTTAGGCTATGGAAATATATTAGCGAAAAATTCATGTCGTTTTTTCAAGAGATATTTATAGGGAAAAAAACGACACAAATTTTTTCGTGGTACTTAATACAAGGCATGTTTCGTGGCTAGGAAGAAAGTTTTGGTTTTTTAAACATTTCTGCCAATTCCACTTCGTTAAATTCCTCTTCTTTTAATTTTTTATTCCAGAGTATGTACCATAATTTATTGTGAAAGTTATTCAAATTATAATAATCAGAAAGAACTGTGTGCTGCCTCTTTGAAATTTTCTAATGTCATATTCAACATAAGAGTATAGTGTTAATAATGAAAAAACCAGTAAGTTCTTGTCGGAAAATCGCTACTTCAATGAAACTATTAAAGAATCTAAGTAAGAAATTATCAGTGACCTTTCCTTAGTTCCTTACTGAATCAAAATGTATGAACTAATCGTATCAAAGAACTTTACAATAGTTGCAAAGCTGCTTTCTCTATTGAACGCAGTCAATGATTTTCATAATTTAATTATTTCTTGTTATTTCAAATTTAATTATTTCTTGTCAAAATTTAGGGAGGGGGAGGAATGTCCTCTTGCGTTCATGAATGTTAGAATAGTTGAAAAAAAAATATACATACATATACTGAAATCTGCTGAAAAAGGAAATCAATTTGCATTATAATGAAAAGCGTTGATTCATAAGAATTTCTTTTTAAGATTGACTGTATCATTTCTCTCATGTAAAATTTAGTCAAATTCTTTATATAATTAGGTCTATATAATCGAAGCTCAAACCGTAGATATATCATAATTTATTTCTATATGTTTCGTATGTATTTAGTACGCGAGACATGATTATATTTTTATACCAACGGAGCTAAATAAATATAATAATATTTTGTGAAATATTTTAATCTCGGAAAATACTAGAATTGCCCCAAGGAGTATGGATTTGAATATCTAATGGACATATGCAAGATATAATGAAACGTTCATTTGATAGTTAAGACGTCCTAAACAGTCTTTGGATTATAACAGATAGTCCCGAAATAAATAACTTGTAAATAACTCTTCATTAAATATTGTATAATTGTTTTCATTGATTTTTTGGTTCGATACTTTTATAAGTTTGCTGATATTTTTTATCAGAAGCTCTTTTTAATTAACGAATAAAGCAATAAATGTTAAGTTGAAATTACGACCACATATATCACTACATACCGCTGCTGCAGCTTGTTGCTGTTGCAAAGCAAGATGTTGCTTAGCAAGGAGGTCTTGATTAATGGATGGATATGCAGTAGCAGCACCATCATACGGTGGTGGCGGTAGCATCATTGGCACTAAAGGTGGTTGCAGATTCATAGCGGCTAAAGCGGGTACGTTTAATCCTAATGGTAATCCCATCATTCCCATCATCAATCCTGGATATTGTTGTAGTTGCTGCTGCAATTGTGATGCAGCCATTGCAGCATTTAGGGCAGCTTGCATCTCGGTCATTTGTTGTGCAAATGCAAGTTGAGTATGCTGTTGTTGTTGTTGTTGCTGCTGCTGCTGTTGCTGCTGTAACTGTTGTTGTTGCTGTTGTTGCTGCTGTTGGGGAATATGATGCTGTGGATTAGATAGGACAGTCGGTGTCGTGGAATCTGTACTTGAAACTGGCGTGTTGCTTAACGCCGGTGTGGTCGCTGGAGTAGTAGATGTAGCTTCTGGCGTTCGACTGATACGTTCTTTGCTTTCAGCGTTATCTTCTTTTTCCTTTTCGCGAAATTCTTTGTCGGCGCTAAGATCTTGAGGTTGTGCAGTAACGACTGTGGTGCTTGTCGGCGTCGTGGTGGATGTCGTGGTGGTGGACGTCGCAACGACAGTTTTCTTCTCATACTCGCATTTGAACTGTTGCGCATATTTCTCGAGAAATTCGCGTGGTACGAGATCGCGATGGACCTCCTCACAATGAGCCTTCAGAACCCAAACGCTGCTGAATTCCTTGTTACAATGTTGGCAAGTACTACGCGTAAGTTCTGGTATCACATCGTCCACATCCATATGAGCCTCTTCGACTTCTTCCTCTTTTAGCTGCATGGCTTGAGCAGCGAGTGCTTGCTTCTGTTGTTCCTGCTTCTGTTGCTCTTGTTGCGCTTGAAGAGCAGCGGCCGCTTCCTCCTCCTTGCGCTGTCGTCTTTGGTGATTCTCATTGAACTGCATGACGAGATCAAAGCCAAAACTCTCCAACAGATGCTTGTACATCTGTGAGGTCTTATGTCGTGGTTGAGAAAGAATATCTTGTGTGGTTTGCGATGAGTGCTGCGTAGTTGATTGCATATGTTGTTGCGGCCCTGGTGTCGTAGATGTAGGAGGTGGTGTCTTAGTCGGGGCGGACGAAGCTAATTGCTGCGATGCAGCAAATTGCTGAAACAATGCCAATGCTGGATTGTTCAAAATTATGTTACATAATTGTTGATGCGCCGCGAGTTGATCTTGATTGACGAACACACTGTTGCATCGCGCACAAGAGAGTATTCCCCCAGTATTGCTTGTGTTTGTGTTGACGGGCGGACTGTTCGGACTTAGTGGTGGTTGTTCAATCAATGGTCGAGCTAGATCTAATTGGCCACTGGCAGCAAGATCTTGCAGTTTACTGGCCCGCGTTTGATGAAGAACACTTCTCATATGGATATCCAAAGTGCTGCCTTGAGTATAAGCGACCTTACAGATGTTGCACTTATATGGTTTTTTATCTTGATCTTGTTGAGAGTCGGGCGATTCAGTCGGACTAGCGGGAGGTACTACCGAGATCAATGTATTGTTGTTACCTTGCTCCTGCATCGCCCGTTTTAACTTGTGCAAATGACTCACGCTGTTATAATGCACCAAAAGTATGTTCTTTTGCGTGAAGCTTTCTTTACAAACGTCGCATTTATATGGTCTGTTAGGATCCAAATATTTTTCCATGGGATAAGACATTTTCTCACCTTTGCGATGCAACAAGGTTTTATTGTGGCCAGTCAGATAGCTCTGACGTGTGAAGGCCACTTTGCATCGATGACATTTAAATTTTCGATTTGGATCTTGATAGGAATCTTCCGCAATTGTTTGACTATTTAAATAATCCTCCAGTAATCGTTGTTCCTTCTGCAACGGAGAACTCAACGAATCACTGGCATCACTTTCTTCTTCATCACCTCTACCAGCATCATCTTCCATATGTAGCTCGCTTGCCAGGCCTTGTCTCTTCAACGTTTCTTCCGTGAATGCCTGAAGAAGAGGATGCTGGAGTAAACTCTGCTTGTATTGATTCATTTCCTCTTCGTGGAGATCGTGGGCAGATTCCAAATGTCTCTGAAGCGCTTGAACTGAACGAAAAGATCGTCCGCACAGGGCGCATTTAGTCGCATCTCTAATAGCGTGATACTGGGAGTGTTGCTGAAGTTTCTCCAAGGTTTTGAACGCAAGGCTGCACTGTACGCATCGATACTTGTAAACGTGTTTTTCGCTAACTGCCAAAGTAGGCGTGGTGGTCGGATGAGCTTCCCGGTGATGTTGCTGAAGTTCCTCGATCGAACGCCAAACTCGGCCACACACGTTACACCTGGCTGTCTCCTCGATTTCGTCACTGCCACCTCGTTCACTCATTTCTTCTTCCTGTTGGGTTTTCGTCGTTGTCGTGGGCGATGTTGGCGTCGTTGTGGTCGTAACAGCCGGCGTCGAGGAATTCCGATTATTGTTTAACCAATGGCTTTGATCCACCAATACTAGTAGCCTCTGTAGACCGTCGGTATTAACGGAGTGAATTTGCATCACGTGCTTTTCCAGGGCTGGACGTTCCTTGAAATTATCTTGGCACAATGGGCATAATAATTCCGCTGCCTCTTCTTTTACCGTTTCAGTTTTCTCCTCCGAATCTTGAACGTGAGCTACTTGCAAATGCTGTCGTAATTCTTCTCGCGACGTCGGTTGATACGTACAGTATAGGCACGTAATTTCTTCTTGGTCATTCTCGGGCTCGGCTTCCGGTTCTGGATCATTGTCCGGTTCTTGTTTCACTTCACTACCGCAATCACTACCTTCTTCTCGTCGTTCTGAAAGTAGACGGAAAAAAAAGTTTGCTTCAGAATTTTTATGTGACAATAACGTACTTGTCGAACACTTTTATACGTATAAAAATTACCACAATGCTGATTTAAACAAAATAATTATGGCTACAAAATTATTAAAAATTATTAAAACTCAACAGAAAGACAAATATCAATTTTGATTTAGTAATAGTAGTAATAATAGTAGTGATGAAATTAGCGGGTAGGACTAAAGCAGTTCCCAACGCATAATCCAGATCTAAAAAGTTCCTCTGTTATTTCCCGCTTGTTTTTTGAAGTTAAGCAGTTCTAGTCCTGTATCACCTACTAGGTTTATAAAATTTTTTTATATTCTCGGGCTCAATGAACATGTGGTCCCAAGATTTATATCTTTTACAGGTAAGCATAAGACAGCGGCATAGAATATGCAAACTAGGAATGTGCGATCTCGATTCAACTTGCTAAAAGATCGATCTTCTGCCTTAAAAAAATCAGTTTTTTAATCGATTCGCTAAGGTCTAATTTCAAAGCAGATCAATTCATTTAATAAAAGAAATTGATTTTTAATTTCTTCAATAAGAGAGTTACGTTCATTTTCAGAAGACACAACGGTTGAGATACATTCTCGCTGCATTCCGATTCTGAAACATACTATAGTAACTAGTATAACTAAAAATAATAAAAAGATTCTTCGATTGAATCGATTTCTAACAGATCGATTCATTCAGTACTGATTTTTTATTGGATCTAATTCTACCACCTGATCCAGGATCGATTTAGCGATCGATTCATTAATGGAGATCGCGCATTTCTAATGCAAACTATCCTCGCTTTGATCCTCTCTGCATAGTCGGCAGTTTTTCTGTTATTAATTTTTTTAAATAGCAATATATGTATATTGCTTTAAAATTGATACTAAAAATATATTATATAAAATACTGTCAACTTTCTAGATGGAATTACGAATTAAGTTATAATTTGTCAGTTCTTTTATTGACATTGACATTTATTGATCGATATATTTAATTTTATGATCAAAACGTCTCCATATGAAATAAAACAACACGAGTATACACAAAAAGAGAAGAGAATTTATGATCCGTTTATTAGTAATATTTACGAACATCAACCTTGTTTTGAAATTACTAAACCAGTTTGCTGCAATCGATATTTATTCATCGCGGTGTATATATCAAGTCGCGTAGCTCGACGGCAATAATAAGTGACTAATTATAAAATTTTCATAAACGTGGCATATAATTAGTAACTTGCTGCATGGAAAATGACGAAAAAAATTTTAGGGCTGGTTTGTTTATAGCAATTTTAAGTAAGTACCGTAGAAAATTCCGCAATTACGATTCACTGGATAACTATCGCTACTCTAAAAATTATTTACGTTCTTACGATCGCCGAGATTTGCAATAAATCGGCTTCTTCGTCTAACCGACGCGATATTAAACTTCGGTATTATATATTCAGAGCCGGACGACCGCACGAGACAACCATCCATTTCGCGGCGATTCGTTCCCCGAGACATTAATTCGAAACTCTATGTGGGAGAAAGTAAATTATAGATACTACCGGTGGACTATGATGTTTATGACAGTGTCACTCAACAAAAAGTTCAATATCATGTACGACCAGGGCGGCAACGCCAGTTAGCGTTTTTTAACGGAGCTATTGTATATAGATTAAAAAGACATTCAAATAAAAGATTATTATCCGCCATATTCATGACAACTATGGTACGCATTTTTCAAACACATTTAAGTCAAATTACTAATTTAAAGAAATTCTGACTTTCGAAAAAATTTAAAAATAAACACGTCATAATATTTACTGTAATTAGTTAATCATTATTATAATATAATAAAATTTGTGAATACAATCTTTTTTTTTACTAAAAATGGCTATATGGGATAGATTGACCAATATGTAAATTAAATATATCATACTAGGTTTGTTCGCATCGCAAGCTTCAACATGCTCCAACATGCTCCTACTCACTCTATCTAGCGCGTTGGAGTGAGTAAGAGCTATAGTAGGAGCATATTGGAACATGTTGGAGTATGCGACGAGAACAAACCTACTGTGTCATCTGCGTCTCTTGCGAAGAAGTACCCCCTAGATTAAACTATTCAAGATTCACGCGTTCCTTCCACGCTCGCGGATCGATTCGCGGTGGAATTATCGAGTGCAATTAGAAATAAGTACGCCGGTCCTTTCAGTGCGCGGACGGGAAGATTTACGCAAGCGATCGCGCACGTAACGCGCGGTGTCGTCGCAGAGAGAAAGTTTTCCGTCGACGCGGCGGCCCGAGAACGAAGACGTACGTCGGTGTGTCTGCACGCGTCGCAGATGCTCTTATGCGCCGGTCTTGCAACAATAATATGCCAAATTATAGATTGGCGACATCGAACTACCGATAGCGGTTTCTTACAAAAAAAAAAAGGAGAGGAGCGACCGAGAAGAAAAAAAAAACAGAAAAGAAACAAATGGAAAAAAAAATGAAAGGAGGACAGCCATGTACGCATCGCGCGGTATTGTCCGAAAGCACACTTGCAACGTGCAGCGTCAGTTGCGACGTCGCAACGCGCACGGAGCAAAACGCGTGCTGCTGGTTTCACCTCGCGCTCCTGCATTCTCTTCGCACTCGTATATTTATGTAAGTACAGTCCGTCGATATATAATAATACGCGGTATTGTACGCGCCACGCCGCGGTGGTGGAGGCGGCACACGCCACGGCCATATGCCACGCAAAATTACCGTCATCGTCGACTAATTGTGAGATAATAAAATAATGAGACCAGTGAATTCATTATAAGGGCACAGTCGCGAGCTTTCTTTGCTAGGTATGCTTTATGCAGGGCGCAGACCGACCATAAAAGAATTCGCTGTAAAAGGAATTACGTTCATCGTCACGAAATCTGATTACCGTTTTGTACCGTAGTTATTAATCTTAACATTTTTTCGGACATTACTCAAGTAGAGCTTGGGTAATAAATTCCCACACTGACACCTTTATTTAATTTATTATTTATAAAATACGTTATAGCAGAAAGAGAATAGTAAGTTTGTAACGAATAACAAGCTTGAAGAAAGGTACCACAGGTCGATTGATCGAGAAATACCACAATGTTCTTTCAGTATAGCGACAGCTGTCTCACGTAAAAAAAGCGATTAAAGGAGTTCGCTTTTTGTGAATGACGAGGAAGTGAAAAACGCGACATATTCGTGATTACAGACCGAAGCCTTTTTCTTTTTCAGAGAAACCAAGTTGTTTGAACGTTGACACACTTTGCACCGTTATGTAACTTTCTTAATGTACAACTTTTAGTACGTTGCTGTTACTTATTGATTGCTCTTTATAATTCTGGCATATTAATGAATGTCATTAGTAATGTAAAACACATTCCATTTGTAAAACACTTTCCGTAAAACATTATCTTTAATCAACAGAATATCTTTACCGTAAAAGGGTCACTATTAACGGGCGCTAAGAATAATTATATAAATAAATACTTACATTAATATTTCGTGCTAGCAATAAATAATATTTCTTATAGCGAACTTGGTCATTTTTGTGTTACTAGAGTCGTGTACCTACATCAAAATGCTATATATGAAATTAGCAAAGTTCGATGTAAAAATACAAATATCTTACACGATTAAATGCACAATAATAATATTGTTACGTTATTTTACAGAATATATATATATATATTTTATTGTCAAAGTTAATTATATTTTGCCACTGTATTTAAATACTTTAGCAACTTTTTAATGTCTATTAATCCAGTATAATGTGAGTGACCAAATTCACTATTATATTCATGATATGTTTATTCGTTGTAACATACCATTGTTGGTACTCGTAGCGTTGGGTGTCGTTGGTGTGGTCGGACTGGGCTGTTGCGTGATCGATACTTCTGGATCACTCGTCACCTGGAACATGACGCTGATATCCGCGTGCGGAGATTCGTTCCCCGCGAGGGTGCTTCTTCTGGCGGTGTGAATGTGGTGTATCTGTTCCATATGAAGGTGCCGCAAAGATCTCACGTGTTGTAAAAGCGGCAATCGGTGCCGAGCACTAAACCCGCATATCACGCAATGATACAATTTTCCGGGGGTTTGGATGTTACCGCTCGCTTCGAGCAGATGACGCAACAGAAGAGACGCGGCTTCGTGCCTTGGTAAAGCGGCGTGCAGGGCCAATTTATGAGCACTATTGGTGTAGTAATCGCACGCGTGGCAGCGCAACTGCGCGGTACTCGTGGGCGATCCCAAGTATTTGAGCTTCCATTCGTTACGAGGCCCACCCTCTTTTATGTGGTTCATGTGTTGCAGTCGTTGCAGGTGTTTGTCAGTCTTGCAATGTAACTGGAAATTTGCTTTTAGATTTGTTTTATAGGAACAGAGTGTACACACGAAATTAGCGTTCATAACCGCGAGTATATCGCCTTCGCGGGTTCTAGTTCTGTCGACGGCTAGATGGTGACTCAGAGCCTCGAGCGAGTCTGTCGCGAAGTTATTACAGATGCAACACTGATACAGATGATTAGGATCTTGATCGGCGGGTTCTGGTGGCGGTTCCATGCTGTCCGGCGAAAGTCCGACGTCACCGCCAAGATTGCTCATGGCAGCCGCGTTTGCTATGGAGCCTATGAGTTCTGGCGGAAACTGCGGCATTTGACCGCCGGTCATCATTGTCATCAAAACCGCCTGATTGTAAGCTAAGTCGGCCAACGCCGCTTCCGTAGGTTGTGGTTTGTCCAAACCGCCTAAATGGAGCAAATGCTCGAGTTGTTGTTGTTGTTGCTGCTGATGATGGTGTTGCGCCTGTTGATGGTGGGACAACGCGGTCAACGTTTGCATGTGTTTGATATTCTGGTGTAGCACCATCGAGTTGTGCGTATGTTTTTCACTCGTCATGTGTATCCTCAGATTGCGCGCGACGTTTGTCTCGTAGTTGCATATGTCACAACGAAACGAGAGCTTCGGTTTGCTTTGATTGCCACCCTGGGAGGCTCGATGTGGACTATGATTCTGCTGATGATGGGGACTGCGAGTTGGCATTGGTGCATCCTGAGACGAGGAGGGATTGCTGGTACCAGAAGCACCTCCGCCTCCCTGTTGCAGCTCCTGCATATTGTTCAAATGTTTGTCGCTTTGCATATGTATACTAAGATTGCCTTTCGTCGTGGTGGAATAATTGCACACTTCGCACCTGTACGGCTTGTAGCCACAGGTGTAGGTTTCGCCACGCGCTAACCTAGGATGAGGCTGACCTGCATTGCAATAAAAACAGGATGTCTCGCTTTCTGGATGTTTTTCTTTCATGTGTATCTCAAGGGTCTCTTGATACTTGTAGTGCCAATTGCACTTGGGACACTTCAGGGTTTTGCAGGAATTTCGACTGTGTATTCCAGCGAGTGGTCCGCCGGGACCGGCGAGTCGACTATTCGTCAATATAAGCTCGCACTTCTGACATTCTACTCCACTTGGTCTACCTTGCATGTGTTCCGGACAGACACCTATCGTGGTGCCGGTGAGGAAGTTCGGCGGAGCCTGAGTAAGAGCAGCGTACGAAGACGGAGATCCTTTGGTAGATGAAGTTGGCGGCGGTGGTGAGCTGTAATGCAAGGCATCAGGGGCTTTGGCCCAGGATGCAGCACTTACTTGCGGACCGCTCCACGGATGCTGCTGTTGATGATTGTACGTGAGAGGATGACTCGAGTGTGACGTGGGCGTGGAGGGAGTACTCGGCGAGGGTCGTTGCTGTTGTTGCGTCTGTTGCGATTGCTGCTGTTGTTGTTGCTGCTGTTGGGGACTGCTAGGTACGCCGGGTGTGCTCGTTGGGGTGCTTGTTGTGGTTGGTGTTGTCTCGTGTTCGTTGGACTCGCTACGTTGCTGTTGTTGAGCTTTAATCTGCGCGGGCGACGCCTGAGCGCAGGTCGAGCTCGTAACGGGTTCTAGGAAACTGACGAGCGGCTGCTTTCCTCTACCCACGGCCTGTATAATGGCCGACGCCGTTGAGTGAGAGAGTATCTGTCGTTCGTCTTCCATTAAAGTAAGTTGATGCTCACCCTGGGCGTGCGCGACGAAACTTTTCGCATACCCAAAACTGAGCTTGCATATGAAACACATTAGGATAGGTTTGACAGGTACCGACGCGGCAGGCGGCGGCGGTGCTGTGGGCGCTGGAAGGGGCTGTTTACTACCCTCCGCGCTCCTGTAACTGATCACCCGATAACTGTGCATTACGGGAAGATCGGGATTGTGCTGTTGAGACGCCGAACGCTGTTGCTGCTGTTGTTGCTGCTGCTGATAGGCCTGATGCGCGTATAATCGCGATACGTAGTACGCGCTCGCGATTTGCGGGAAAACTAAGGAGTGAGGAACCGATACACCGCGCCCATCTACAATACAACCGTCGGGCAGAGAGTCGTCTTCACTGAGTTCACTCTCGCCTTCGATGATATAGGCCGACCCGTCCGGGTTGTAGACGATTTTACCGTCAAATTTCTCCACGTCGCCGCCCGTCGGGCTCGGGCTCGGGCTGGGACCCTGTTGTTGCTGTTGACTTTGCGACTGCATCGTCATAGTCGTGGTGGTGGTGGTAGTGGTGGTGTCAGCGATAGGTGTGGGTGTTGGTATTGCGTCGCGGGTGCAGGGTTCTGTGCCCGAAGGTGGACTAGCCGTGCGGGGATGATGGGGCTGATGAAGTGCAGCCCCAGCCGCAGGGGGGGACCCACCCACTCGGCCCCCCTCCTCCTCCGGGCTCATCTCCTGCTTCTGCTGCGCGTACGTGGAATTTTGGAAGGGTCCGCCGTGTTGCTGCTGTCGCTGTTGCTGTTGCTGATGATGGGCCGCCACCAGCTGAAAGAACTGATGCTCGATCGCGCTCGGCGTGTGCTGTTGTAGATGCGAGGGAGGAATGTTGTGGTGCTGAAGGTGGTACGGGGGATGAGGCTCACTGGAGGGCATCACCCCAGACGTGAGGCGGGCGCCAGCCTCACATCACCTACGGCGTCTACGCCTGCGTTCTCCGGACTTCCTCCGCGGACTCTTCTTCCGTGCGGATTCGCCCGCTTCCTCGCCGACTGCCTCCCCGTCTTATCTTCTTCACCACGAAGAGACGGTTCACTAGCTACCCCGACGCAAGCCCAGGTCGTACCTGTAACAATTCAAACAAAGATTGGTCATTCAAACTGACGTTTAACACTGACAATAATTTTACGCGCGGAAGTTTTCATATGTAATCATATATGTATAAGCATACAATTTTAAAATGATTAGAAATTACGTATAGCTCGACTTTAGAAATTCTGAATTCTATCCGTAAGATGAGACTAGTTAGCTCGCTCGTAAGAGAATGAATTCGCAGACGGGACATTTAGAAGTCGTTCAGTCGTCTAATCCGTTAAACAGAGTCAACATTTCCGAGGACGGCCGAAAGATAGCGAAATACGTAGAAGTGCAGCAAGCTGCGTGTGCAGAGGATCGCTCGGAGAAGACGACGGTTAGGTACACAAAGCCGCGGCGGAGAACCGTCGCGGTAACACAACGAGTCGTTGTATTCGGATTACCTGAGTGAACCCAGCTGTGTTTGCGTTCGATCGGCTGAGCTTATCTATCGATGAAATATCAATGTTCCTGTCCGAGCAATATAAGACGAAAAGACGAACAGCAAGCTCGATGGCGAATCGTTGCTATGAATGCTTGCCTTGCTATGAATGCTTGCGTTCAGATTAAGGATCTTTCGTCTCTTTTATGCATGTTTCTCTCTTTTCTTAAGTTAAGTTTCGTCGGTATATGAAATAGAGCATTGTTGGCGTTTGTTTGCTCACTAAATTAACTTTCTTTATCTCTCTAATATTTTTAATTTTTTCTTATTTAACTTTGTTAGATGTAAATTTTAATACTTTTCGCGTAAATTTAATCGTTTCTTTTTTATTTTGCATTTAAAAAATGTTTACATTTAAAATTCGTTAAAAATGGTACTTCTAAAAATTTAAAATTCCTAAAAATTAATGTCTTCACTCACAAAGACCCGCGGACAGAATTAAAAACTCAGAGACAAGATTCCCAGGCGGTGATTCAATGCACAGGCAATAACGCGGTTTTCACGCGCCGTTGAGATAATCCGATTTCAAATTACGCAAATGGACAAATTACAAACTGTGAAAGCGGATGGCAACGTACGTGCGTTGTGATTCCGGGGTAGGGAGAATTAACGAGAGCCATGCGAGAAGGACTGGACGCGTCACCCAAAACAAGGTACGCCGGCCGCTTTGATTACCACGGAGGGATAAACACGCTCACGGGGGAGTAGAATCCACGTTTCCACTGAAACGTGCGCGATGATGCGAATTCCTGCCGCGGGCGAGAGGCGAGGGCGAAGGCAAGACTCTAATAATCTAATCCCAATTACGCGGAATCGCGGTCTCGAATCAACGTCGTGAGGAGGCCGGCCGCAAGCATTCACGGAATCTAACGGATTAAAGATGAGCCGGGTGGGTGTAACGCGGGATTTATGCGCTGGCTCGCGTGCGTGTGTACGGGGGTGTGGGATGTGGAACGGCGTGACGATCCGTCGAGAGAGAATGTATATCCCATCCTGCGGAAGAGAAGCCTGGAACCGATTCGTCCTTCTCTTTCTCTCTTTCTCTTTTCCCCCTCACGCCCGTTGGCCGCGGGCGGTATCGCCGGACATTATGGTACATACGCGTATACGCGGCATTACACGGCTCCCTCCCGCTCCACCTTCTACTCCTCTCTCCCCATCGAACCGCGCCATCGCCACAGTTATAATTCCGCGGTGCAAACGCCATAATCTAGTCACCGTATCCCCCGGCATCTCTTTCTCGAACGATACCGCTTTTATAATGCGTGAGGCACGCCGGCCGCGATCGTTCCCTCGGATTATCATCGATCGATACCGCCAATCCTAGGTGAATCCTCCTTGTACGGTGCCCAATCACGTGCCGGCGCGTTCGAGAGACGTTCCACGATCCGATAAAACGGGTGCCTCGTCGACGGCGCTCATTAAAGCAAAATCGTACACGTCGAGGAATATAATTGCGCAGCCTACTGGATCGGTGCTAAACGAGGGAGAGCAAAATGCACCTTTACTATATTCCCGTAAAGATGTAGCGAAAATGTTCTGCTTGAACATGGCGTAATTCATGATATTAACGTCGATATACTCTTTCGACTAATAATTATAACTCGATGTGTGAGTTATAACGTGGCAATGATATCGAAATGTACAAATTTCCAAATTGCAAATCAATTTCATCTGATTTTCCTTCTAACATTGTACCACATTAATTACGTTTGCACATACAACTTTCCTCCATCTTACGAACATTTTTTAAACCGATACAAATTTATTGAGTTTAGCTTTCAAGACACAAGTTTGTCGAGTTCAGCTTTCAGGATTATAGATGCGAGGAACTTTTGCGTTTCTTTTATCACGTATGAATAAACAAAATCTTGTTCTTTAAGAACATATATTAAAGTATTTAAGATATCTTTCTCCGAGTTTTCAGAATTATAAAAAATATTAGTATTTATTTAATATGACAATCGGACGGTTCACTTCGATGTCATCTGTATAAACGATATTGATACGTTATCATATATTCAGAGAGTATGCGCGAGGTAGGTACGAAAAAGAAGAATAAGGGTAACAAAGGGGCATCGGGACAAACGAAGAACATCTGCCAATCTGACATCACCTGCCTCGACTTATCTAGCGGCGTCGACGCGTCGACGTTAGAGGCGTATGGCGTCGAACGGCTTTGTTTTCGCAGGGTCTGGCCCTAATTAAACGATAGCATCTTAATTGTCTCCCGACCATTCTAACGCGGCGATTCATGGCCGCGATCGCTTCGAGGATAGAGAGCGCCAAGTTTCGACTGTTTTCTTATATTGCATCGTCATAATTCCTGTTTGTATGCCAGTGAAATCTGTGGACGCTTCAAAAAATATTCAAAAATTTTTCACGATTCTTTTCAGGAACACATACGGAGCACATTTATCTTAATTGTATTAATTTTCTTGCATAATTAAATAATGTATAGCAAATATTTTTAAATTTACAAATATTTTTTTACGTTGAATAATCTGAATCGTTAAAAACCAATAAGTGTAAAAAAGATTATTTTCTTTTTATTCGTTTATTTAACAAGTAAAACAATTGAAACTATAAAATTACGTTCTACATTTTATCGATGTATTGGTGGGAAAGCAACGTAATATTTTTATTCCGTCTAATAGGTCTACTTCATCGAATTATGATAATATATAGCAGTGAATTTTAAAGATTTAACAAATCTTTCAAGATACAGAAACAGTGTCGAGTCGATAAATATTTCATGAAGCAAGCAGGACAAGCTAAAAACGAACACTGATGAATCTACAAGTGTAACAGCGAAGCGATACACCTCGAAACCCGACGTAATTATAACTTTGGAGAAAGTCGAGGACGATCACAGGTGGCTGATGAGTGTTCAATAGTGGAAAAGGGAAGCGCATGACATAACACAGCGGGAAGAAAGACGGCGGAGGGTACGCGGTGGGACCGAGAAAGGTACGAGGGAGGAGAGCGAGGACGATTCGGCGGAGAGAAGAGCCTCCGATGATGGGAGTTAAATGTTCGGCGAAGGAGCGACCGCGGAGTGTATCGTGCCCTTTTGTTTGTCGCGGTGTTTCGCTCGAAGGTCCCTTTGTATCCTCCAGAACGGAGGTAGGAGGCAAAAGTCTCTACGGGGCCCACATGGCGAACCCGGCCGCGTTTATTCGGCACGAAATACGCAAGATGCGCGCAATTATGGGCCTCTCAATTATCTCGTACGCGTCTCGTTATTTATTGAATATCGTGCCTGCTTATTTCTCAGGCGAGTTTGCGTGCCGTGGTAAGAGGGTGTCTCTCGAAGGGTGGCGAGGGGGTAAGATGACGGGAGCGCGGCTTCTTTTTTTTTATTCTTGCGGGTTTCGACACGGCTCGATATGTGGGGACGCATTGTTCGGGCTGATACCGAAACCGGAAGTCGTCGAAATTCCGCATCGCGCAAATCGAGACCGCAGACTTTCGCGTGCTCCAAATACGGCACAGAATAAACAGACGCCTTACTAGAACATATTATACCTTGATATGACATCCTTTGGTTGATTTATCCGCATTATGAGGAGTCTGTTGATTATTAGAGAGAACGTATTACGTTATATGGATATATACTCCAGGCCAAAAGTTTAAAAACATTCTTTAAAAATTGACATTTTTGGAATTATTTATTTAAATAAAATGTATTCAATATATATCGTAAGATATGATGTTTCCTTTGAAATATTTATATTATATCTAATAGAATCTTTACAATGCCGATTAATTCTCGACTACGAATCATTTCAACATTGAAGCGAAAATTTTAGGCGGTTGTACAATCTATCCATACGATTAAAACTCTGGTATTATAAGGTTCTAAATTATTAGATAAAAAACTTTGAATCTTCCTTTACCAATCACGCAAAGCAAAGTTCATTTACATTCTATATTTCAAACAGGACTTTAGTAGTTAGGTGTGATTTTAAGTAGTCGGAGTTAAGAATTACTAATTCGAACTTTAAATTTATCTCTGTTTAAAACAGTCATTGCCTAATTAAAGCATACTGTCTTAATTAGCTGCAACAAAAAGCGCATTTTTTTTAGATATGCTATTTTCTATTAACGTTACTAAATCTTAATACCATAGGAATACGTTAAAACGGGTTAAATATGGTACGAGTAACTATCATTTTCAAAAGTATAGTTATCTTACTTTTTAAAAAGAAGGATTATCGAGAGGCTGTATACTGCACGATGCATTAGATTGCATCAATCGCCAAGTACAACGCACTGCGGCTCCGCGGTACAATTAACCGGGGCTGTATTTCTCTTATTATTGTTATTACGTGGCCGGACGACTTTCTACTTAATATACGCGGGCCTGATAAGAACTATCCGCGAACGACGACCACGTTTCAGCAGACGCATACGAAGCCACGCGGAAACGTACGCCAGTGCTACGTTGCACGTCGCATGCATATGTGCTCCGTGGCTTGTATGCAAATGCAAGCCGCTTCGAAATAATTATAGTTGTACCCCGCGCTGGTGTCGTAGTGTCTTCGCGC